TTTTAAAGGCGGGCCCCAAAAATTTCCCCAGCTGGGGCTTTGTGCTCGCTAGAAAGTCTAAAGGGAAGAAAGGATGGGGCAGGGGCAAAAAGCCTCGGGGAAAAAACCCGGCTCTAAAAAAAATTTTGCTACCTTCCTTATTCTATGTAGTGATCTAGCAGAGCTTGGGCTTTCTGCAAAGAATATATTTTTCCCCATTTTGTGGATGCGGGAAAGGGGTCGTTTAGCAGGGGCCCCATTCAAAAGAAACGCCTTGCCTTCTCCAGGCACGAAAGGGAAATTTCAAATGTTGGGCCCTTAGGTGGAGTTTTGTGTTTGTTCCCCTTCTTACCTCATTCATTCGGGAAAACGCCTTTAAATTTATGAATGAAAAAGGGGATCCCTTCTAAAACCAAGGGAAAGCCCTGGACCTTTTTGGAAACTGGGGCCCACTCCCCGGGGGCCCCGGGGTAAAGTAGGGGGCCCCCTTTAAGTTTCCCCCTGGTCCCCTTTTTCCCATAGGCTTTTTTAAAGTTTGGGGAAAGGGGCCCCGGGGGCCCCTCATGACCCCCGATTCCCCGGGGGCAACCCCATTTTTTTTGGGCCCATCCCCCCCCTGTTTTAAAAACCTCTAAGAAATGGATTTTGCTCTAACCCCCGGTTGGAATCGATTATGAAAAGGCCTAGATCTGCTCCCGGCCTTTGCCGGAAGACGCTTTCCCGCCCGGGCTCACTGGGGCTTGATCACAGGTAATCCCCTCATGACTTCTCTGAAAATCAAGCCCCCCCAGTGGGGGGGCAAATGCATCAAGGGAAAGGCCGAGAAAACGTTCTGGGGCCTTTTAAATCCCCGCCTTTGCAGGAAAACATGAAAAATTATTTTTTTTAGATCTGTAAACTTAAAGCCCTCCCAAGTAAGAGGGAAATAAAAGGGAAAACCCAAAAACCCAAACCCAAAGTTTTGGCTGGCCCAGTTTCCCCGTAAACCTTTTTTCCTCCTCCATGGAAGGTTGGACCCCAGGGGGTTACTTTTGTTTCCAACTACTAATATCATACTGTTCAGAATGTTAGCAGGCTGATAATTACCTCAACCCACTGAACAGATATCCAGAAGTATTATCAGCTACTTCTAACACTTACAATACAATTAGTGGACAGTACTCTTTCAATGTTGCAAGGTGATGGGGGTACCTTAGAAGGGGCGGACTGACCATTGGAAACTAGGGCACTGCCAGGGGGCTCGGGGTCAGTAGGGGCCCATGAGATGCCCCTTGTACTTTATTCATAGGCTTTTTGTGTTTGGGCAAGGACACATGGGCCTCATGATCCCCTATGCCCGGGTGGGCCCCATGACGTTGTCAGTCGCCCTGATCTCAACCTTCACTTTATAAGCATGCTCCTTGAGAATCTACCAGATCCATTCATCGGTGGTATATGTTCTTGTTATTTTATTTCGGACTTTATCTTTGAACTCTCACTTTCAGCAACAGAATTTCATAGTAGGATCTACTCTACTCCATTTTGCTTCAGGACTCTACCGCGGACCGTACTGAAAATCTCCTGGAAAGACATCCTATCTGCAGGAAGGGAGGTCACCTGGAGGTCCAAGGGCCGCAGTAGTATAATGTTTAAGCATGTCTTGGATATTACTCTTATATATAGCCCAGGTGAGATCCTTCACCTGTACCTTACACTAATTATCTCCATCTTGGGATACGTGAGCTCACACCAACATTATCTCTTGTTTCCATCTCAGGTCTTCTACAGAGACAAAACATTTACCATGGGTCACTTAGTGCTACGTAGATCAGATGACGGAGAGAGTGAAGTCCTTCTAAGCTGTGTTCAGAGTATGCCAAACGATGATAAGTTGGCTTACAACACTTGCTACACTTCTGGTAAGGCCACCTCTGCTTTTATTTGTTGGCGATACCCAACATAAGGAGTCAGTAGCAGACTCCGAGAGGTTCCCACTTTCTTCTGTATGCCCTGGAGGCCTCTGAGTACTTAAAGTGTTACTAAAACCCACAACAGTACCATCAGTCTGTATATGCAGTAAGGCCTATGCTTGTTATACTCACTAAGGAACTTATGGTGTTATTCCTCCGCATTGTGTAAAAAGGCTGTTTGACCCTGTGTTCTCTAACCCTCCCCTTCTACTGTCCCCAATCCATCTGCCGTATAGAACAGAGCCTTGGGGGCAAGCTGCACATGCTGTTTGGTGTGTATTGCTAGAGAGTTTTTTTTTTTTCTGGGAGAGTGTATGTGATCAGCAAAGGGCCAAGCAGCACTGTCCAGACAGAGGGACAGGGTCATGCAGCCTCAGAGGACAATCAGGGGAGAATGAAATCTCCTCCTAAAAAGCTTTAACCAGTGCTCGGCTGGACACTGATAGAAGTCAAAAGACTGCTATGTTTATACTGATGATGAGAAAAGGTATTTAGCAGCATTTTATATTTACTAATTAATTGCATTTCCATGTTTTTTGTGTACTGTGGGAGACTAGAGAGAGTGAATTACAGGGTCCAGGTGAGACCAGATATAGTGAATGCAGGGTCTGGGGAGAACGGATAGAGTGATTGCAGGGTGTGGGGAGACCAGATATAGTGAATTCAGGGTCCGGGGAGACCGGATATAGTGAATGCAGGGTCCACCAGGGAGAGCGGATATAGTGAATGCAGGGTCCGGGGAGACGGATATAGTGAATGCAGGGTCCGGGGAGAGCGGATATAGTGAATGCAGGGTCCGGGGGAGACTGGATATAGTGAATGCAGGGTCCAAAGAGAGCGGATGCTATAGAGAATGCAGGGTCCGGGGAGAGCGGATATAGTAAATGCAGGGTCCTGGGTGACCGGAGATATAGTGAATGCAGGGTCCGGGGAGACCGGATATAGTGAATGCAGGGTCCCTGGGAGACCGGATATAGTGAATGCAAGGGGTCCGGGCCCATAAGACCGGATATTAGTGAATGCAGGGTCCTGGGAGACCGGATATAGTGAATGCAGGGTCCGGGGAAGACTGGATATAGTGAATGCAGGGTCCTGGGAGAGCAATTATAGTGAATGCAGGGTCCTAGGAGACCGGATATAGTGAATGCAGGGTCCGGGAAGACCGGATATAGTGAATGCAGGGTCCGGGGAAAGCGGATAGAGTGAATGCAGGGTCCGGGGAGAGCGGATATAGTGAATGCAGGGTCTGTGGAGAGCGGATATAGTGAATGCAGGGTCCGGGGAGAGAGCGGATATAGTGAATGCAGGGTCCGGGGAGAGTGGATATAGTGAATGCAGGGTCTGGGGAGAGCAGATATAGTGAATGCAGGGTCCAAAGAGAGCGGATATAGAGAATGCATGGTCCGGGGAGAGCGGATATAGTGAATGCAGGGTCCTGGGAGACCGGATATAGTGAATGCAGGGTCCGGGGAGATGAATATAGTGAATGCAGGGTCCGGGGAGAGCAAATATAGTGAATGCAGGGTCCGGGGAGACGGATATAGTGAATGCAGGGTCCGGGGAGACGGATATAGTGAATGCGGGGTCCGGGGGAGAGCAGATATAGTGGATGCAGGGTCCGGGAGACCAGATATAGTGAATGCAGGGTCCGGGGGAGACCAGATATAGTGAATGCGGGGTCCGGGGAGACGGATATAGTGAATGCAGGGTCCGGGAGAGCAGATATAGTGGATGCAGGGTCCGGGAGACCAGATATAGTGAATGCAGGGTCCGGGGAGACCAGATATAGTGAATGCAGGGTCCGGGGAGACCAGATATTAGTGAATGCGGGGTCCGGGGAAGACCAGATATAGTGAATGCAGGGTCCTGGGTTTAGTAAACACTTTAAAGATGACATTTTAGCTATAGTAGTTTTTCATAGCAGCATTGGTCCAGCTTGGACCCATGTGAGTATGTATTGCCATACCTATGAGATTCCCATGGACACCTCTACTACAGTAATCTCCACTAGCTTCCAGGTCCTGTGCCAAGCAGCTGCTCTACTGCATATTCAACACAGGAGGTCCTTGCTCAGCATGGGCACCATTCAGGAAAAACTTTAAAAGGTGGGGTGTTGATGTCAAGATCTCCTTCTCATCCAATTAGAGAACACTTTGCATTAACAGAGAAGTGCAAAGTGTTTTCTGAGTGGCACCCGCCACCAAGCAACCTCTTGTGTTCACCAAGCAGGAGGGCAGCCACTTGAGACCCGGAAGCTAGCAGCAATCATTGTAGTAGTAGTGCCTACCAAATGTGATGTACAACTTTCATGGTCCACAGGTCTGGCACATACATACTACATTTGTCCAAGCTGGAACCTAGTCCCTTAAACCTAACCCGTAAATATAACCCTAGCTTTCATATTAAAAAGCCTCCAGGATTCATTACAAGCTGGCCGAAATGGACTATTTCCATTACAAATACATGTGCCCACTGTCAGTGCTGTATAAACTCTATATAGTCTCATCTACAGTATATACGATGTACAACTTTGCGTTCTGGCAGCGGTACATGGACTTCCCACCCTGTTCCTAGAAAAAAAACATGCTCAGCCATTCACAGGAAGCTTTGTAATTTTATAAATGAATGCAAGGCTTTCTCTGACTGGCTGAGGGGGATTTTTGTGATGTCATCTGCCTATCTCACTACCTCAAATCAAAGGAAGTCTTGTATTGACTCAGAAAAAATACAAGGCTTCCTGTGAATAGCTGAGCAATGCTGAAGTCGACTCAATTTTGTTCCGGGAACAGGGCAGAAAGATTTCATACAGCTGCCAGAACACAGAGCTGTCTACTGTACAGGGGCGGACTGACCATTTGGAAACTCGGGCACTGCCCGAGGGCCCGGGGTCAGTAGGGGGCCCCATGAGATGCCCCTGGGCACCTTTTTCATAGGCTTTTTTGAGTTTTGGGCAAGGACACAGGGGCCCCATGATCCCCTATTGCCCAGGGGCCCCATGAGTTGTCAGTCCGCCCCTGATACTGTATGTAAAGTATTCATACCCCTTGAAATTTTCCCCATGTTGTCATGTTACAGCCAAAAAATGTAAATGTATTTTACTGGGATTTGATGTGATAGACCGACACAAAGTGGCACAAAATTGTGGAAGGAAAATGAGAAATGGTTTTCAAAATTTTTTTTACAAATAAATCTATTCAGCCCCCCCCGGAGTCAATACTTTGTAGGACCCCCTTTGTCTGCAATTCCAGCTGCAAGTCTTTTTGGGGATGTCTCTTTGCACATCTAGAGAGGGACATTTCCGCCCATTCTGCTTTGCAGAATCGCTCAAGCTCTATCAGATTGGTTGGAGGGCGTCTGGGAACAGCAATTTTCAAGTCTTGCCACAGATTCTTCTTTGGATTTAGGTCTGGACTGTGACTGGGCCATTCTAACACATGAAGATGCTTTCATGTAAACCATTCCATTGTAGCTCTGGTTGGATGTTTCGGGTCGTTGTCCTGCTGGAAGGTGAACCTCCTCCCCGGTCTCAGGTCTTTTGCAGACTCTAACAGGTTTTCTTCTAAGATTGCCCTGTATTTGGCTCTATCCGTCTTCCCATCAACTCTGCCCAGCTTCCCTGTCCCTGCTGTAGAAAAGCATCCCCACAACATGATGCTGCCACCACCATGTTTCACGGTGGGGATGGTGTGTTCAGGGGGATGTGTAGTGTTAGTTTTTTCTCACTCATAGTGTTTTGCTTTTAGGACAAAAAGTTAAATGTTGGTCTCATCTGACCAGAGCCCCTTCTTCCACATTTGCTGTGTCCCCCACATGGCTTCTCACAAACTACAAAATGGGACTTCTTATGGCTTTCTTTCAACAATGGCTTTCTTCTTGCCACTCTTCCATAAAGGCCAGATTTGTGGAGCGCAGGACTAATAGTTGACTTGTGGACAGATTCTCCCCCCTGAGCTGTGGATCTCTGCAGCTCCTCCATGGACCTTTTGGCTGCTTCTCTGATGAATGCTCTCCTTGCCCGGCCTGTCAGTTTAGGTGGACGGCCATGTCTTGGTAGGTTCGCAGTTGTCCATACTCTTTCCATTTTCGGATGATGGATTGAACACAGTGCTCCGTGAGATGTTTAAAGCTTGGGATATTTTTTATAACCTAATCCGGCTTTAAACTTCTCCACAACTTCATCCCTGACCTGTCTGGTGTGTTCCTTGGCCTTCATGATGTTGTTTGTTCACTAATGATCTCTAACAAACCTCTGAGGGCTTCACAGAACAGCTGCATTTATACTGAGATTACATCACACACAGGTGGTCTCTATTTACTAATTAGGTGATTTCTGAAGGCAATTGGTTCCACTAGATTGTAGTTAGGAGTATCACAATAAAGGGCGCTGAATACAAATGCACGCCACACTTTTCAGTTATTTATTTGTAAAAAAATTTGAAAACCATTTATCATTTTCCTTCCACTTCACAATTATGTGACACTGTGTTGGTCTATCACACCAAATCCCAATAAAATACATTTACGTTTTTGGTTTAACATGACAAAATGTGGAAAATTTCAAGGGGTATGAAGACTTTTTCAAGGTACTGTAGCTTATGCTACAGATATTTAATACAGCGCTGACAGCAGGCAAATGTATTAATAATGGAAAAAGTTAGATTGGGCCATCTTGCCCCAAACCAAATATTTAAATGAAATGAAACCTGGATTTAGGATTTTAGATATAGCCCTATATCTAATACTAAACCTCAACTGTAACATAGCCACTGATAATATTCATATCTGCCGTGAAAGTCTAAATCTAAAGCTGATACCAGTGGGGGGGTATAGTAGGATGTTGTGCAAGAACCTAGGATGCCAACCCATGAACATGTGAGGAGCCTGGGGAAATCTGTCTGTGGTGGATCAGATTCAGGTCACTCTGGTAATATTTATTGATGTCTTTTGTGCCCTGGAACTGCTCTTTAATGTTTATATGTTTTGTTATTTAGGAGTCTTTCGACTACGCAAAGGAAACTCCATCACCCTTCAAATACCACGAAGAAATGCCACTCTGGAGACCCACCGCCAGGCCACCTTTCTTGGTTTCATCAAGCTATAAAAACCACCAGAATGAAACTTTCTATGTCACTGCCAGCCGAATGAAAGTAATAGAGAAGATAAAAAGTCACTACAAAAAAATTAGTTATTATTATGTCCTAAAATGGCACCCCCTCCTGCAGGGTGATACAAACAGAAAGGGGCTATGAGTCTGTCCTCCTCCTGCAGGGTGATACAGACAGAAAGGGGGCTATGAGTCTGTCCTCCTCCTGCAGGGTGATACAGACAGAAAGGGGCTATGAGTCTGTCCTCCTCCTGCAGGGTGATACAGACAGAAGGGGGCTATGAGTCTGTCCTCCTCCTGCAGGGTGATACAGACAGAAGGGGGCTATGAGTCTGTCCTCCTCCTGCAGGATGATACATACAGAAGGGGGCTACGAGTCTGTCCTCCTCCTGCAGGTGATACATACAGAAGGGGGCTACGAGTCTGTCCTCCTCCTGCAGGGTGATACAGACAGAAGGGGGCTACGAGTCTGTCCTCCTCCTGCAGGGTGATAGAGACAGAAGGGGGCTACGAGTCTGTCCTCTTCCTGCAGGGTGATACAGACAGAAGGGGGCTATGAGTCTGTCCTCCTCCTGCAGGGTGATACAGACAGAAGGGATCTATGGGTCTGTCCTCCTCCTGCAGGGTGATACAGACAGAAGGGGGCTACGAGTCTGTCCTCCTCCTGCAGGTGATACATACAGAAGGGAGCTATGAGTCTGTCCTCCTCCTGCAGGGTGATACAGACAGAAGGGATCTATGGGTCTGTCCTCCTCCTGCAGGGTGATACAGACAGAAGGGGGCTACGAGTCTGTCCTCCTCCTGCAGGTGATACATATAGAAGGGGGCTATGAGTCTGTCCTCCTCCTGCAGGATGATACATACAGAAGGGGGCTACGAGTCTGTCCTCCTCCTGCAGGTGATACATACAGAAGGGGGCTACGAGTCTGTCCTCCTCCTGCAGGGTGATACAGACAGAAGGGGGCTACGAGTCTGTCCTCCTCCTGCAGGGTGATACAGACAAAAGGGATCTATGAGTCTGTTCTCCTCCTGCAGGGTGATACAGACAGAAGGGGGCTACGAGTCTGTCCTCCTCCTGCAGGGTGATACAGACAGAAGGGGGCTACGAGTCTGTCCTCCTCCTGCAGGGTGATACAGACAGAAGGGAGCTATGAGTCTGTCCTCCTCCTGCAGGGCGATACAGAAAGAAGGGGCTATGAGTCTGTCCTCCTCCTGCAGGGCGATACAGAAAGAAGGGGCTATGAGTCTGTCCTCCTCATGCAGGGTGATACAGACAGAAGGGGGTTATGAGTCTGTCCTCCTCCTGCAGGGTGATACAGACAGAAGGGGGTTATGAGTCTGTCCTCCTCCTGCAGGGTGATACAGACAGAAGGGGGCTATGAGTCTGTCCTCCTCCTGCAGGGTGATACAGACAGAAGGGGGCTACGAGTCTGTCCTCCTCCTGCAGGGTGATACAGACAGAAGGGGGCTATGAGTCTGTCCTCCTCCTGCAGGGTGATACAGACAGAAGGGGGCTACGAGTCTGTCCTCCTCCTGCAGGGTGATACAGACAGAAGGGGGCTACGAGTCTGTCCTTCTCCTGCAGGGTGATACAGACAGAAGGGGGCTACGAGTCTGTCCTTCTCCTGCAGGGTGATACAGACAGAAGGGGGCTATGAGTCTGTCCTCCTCCTGCAGGGTGATACAGACAGAAGGGGGCTACGAGTCTGTCCTCCTCCTGCAGGGTGATACAGACAAAAGGGATCTATGAGTCTGTCCTCCTCCTGC